TAAGCAGCAAAGTGACCCTGTCCTGCGTTTCACAGCCCACCGGCCCTGCTGGGAGGGAGCCTCGGTGGTGGAGCCCGCTCTTAGGTTTGCTGGGAGCGGGCAGCCGTACCTCGAAATCAGCCGCTGGTTTTGGGGGGGGGAGACTTGGCTGTAAGCAGATTTGGAACAGTGCTGTGACTGTAACCATGCCTCAGTCTTCCATTTGTGTCTGGTTTTCCTCCCCCTCAGCCCTTTTTGGGTAGAGACGGGCCTATTTTCAGCGTCTTGAGTATTTTACTGGTTTGTTTGGACCCAGCAGCAAGGCAGGTAGTAAAGAGATTGGTCGAGAAATGGTTGCTTTTCCTTTCCTTACCCTGTCCTGTTTGAGCTGCTGTGCCTGATCAGAATTCTCTGTCCTTTCTCCTGTTTTCCCAGCTGCTTTTTGTTCCTTTTGTGGTAGCTTAACCTTTACTGATGGGCTCGTCTTCAGTGCTTTGCTTCCCCTCGGAGTCCTGTCAATAGAAAACAGAGCTGGAGTTGAAAACCTCAACTGAAGTTGACACACTGAGCTCTGAGTTTGGGGTTGTTGCAGCCACGACCACGCTTTTTAGGACCCGTGGCCTTCACGAGGTGATATTTTGGATGGCGTCAGGGTGCCAAGAGTTGGTGGCCAGACAAAAATCCAGCGGGCGAGGGCTGTCCTAGGCTGCCCTGACCGCCACCTCGGGCTGCTCAGTGACTCTGCTCCTTTGCCGAAGGGCCGGACGGGCACGTGACGCGGTACGGGCTGGAGTGGCTGGTGAAGAACAGCTACGAGGGGCAGAAGCAGCAGGTCATGCACCCGCGGATCCTCTGGAACGCCGAAATCTACCGCCGAGCCCAGGTGCCGTCCGTCGACTGCCGGAGTTTCCTGGAGACGGACGAGGGGCTGAAGGAGTTCCTGCAGAACTTCTTGCTGTACGGGATCGCCTTTGTCGAGAACGTCGCTCCCACCAAAGAGGACACCGAAATCTTGGCGGAAAGGATCAGCTTGATCAGGTAACGAGGGCTGCCCTGGGCAGGCAGCCCTGCGGGGGGGAGCCGGGAGGGCTGGGCTGGTGGTTTCCCGCTGGGTGGCGAGGTGCTGGTGTGCAGACGCAAGGCGCGGGTCTTCTACACGGCCCCTCGGCGTGAGCCGAGCTGGAGCGTTGAGGGACCTGAGCTCTCTTGGGGGGAGAGTCGCCAGGTTACGGGGCTGCCTCGGGAGCCTGCGGTGCCTGTTGTGTTGCCGGCGAGGAGGGGCTGAAGGAAGCGGCCTGGCTGGGAAGGCTGGAGCTTTGCGGGGAGAGACGTTTCCTGTTACGACTTGAAAGGTCAGGAGGGCAGCCCTGGCCCTGGGAGCCAGGGAGATCAAAACCAAGTGGTAGAGAAATCCTGAGAAATGTCCCTTCTGCATTCGTTTGAAACGTACCAACAGCGGGGCAAGCGGGGCTCCGGGTCTTACCCGAGCTGCAGGAACAGTTGAGCTTGCCTTGGGCCCTTGGAAGAGGAGGGAGTTCCTCTCGTCAGTAGACGTGAGGGGCTCCAAGGAATATCCAGCCATTTCTATTTCTCTCCAGGTGCCCTCACCCCGTAGCCCCTGAGGACCGTTTGTCCTCGCCTTCTGTCTGTCCCTTCTGTCTGTGTTGGGGGTGGGGGGGGAGCTGGGTGAAAACGCAGGGTCCCAAGAGTAAGAAACGGGACTCCTGGGCAGCCCTGCGGTGGGGACAGGCCGGGGCTAGCTGCGCTCCAGCAGCTCCTCGTGTGTCGCCCAGTGGCTTCCGTGATTTGACTGGGGCTGGTGTTTGGTGTGGAAAGATGGTGCGTGTTTGGGGAGGGGAAGCAAGACTCCTTGCCCTCAGTCCTCTCGGGAAGGAGAGAGAGATCGAACGCTAGAGGAGGTGTTAGAAGCACCATCTCTTGACAACGTGAATCCGTTAAGTTGTTCTGGTTTGATTTACTCTGTCCATAGGGTGGAGGGGCTGGAGCCGAGCTGCAGGCGGGGGATCTGCTCTGCCACCACGCCGGTCCCCGCAGCGCGTTGCGATAACCGCCCGCCTCTTTTGCAGGGAGACCATTTACGGCCGCATGTGGTACTTCACCTCCGACTTCTCGCGGGGAGACACGGCCTACACCAAGCTGGCTCTGGATCGGCACACCGACACGACCTACTTCCAGGAGCCCTGCGGGTAGGCGCTTGTGCTGGTCCACGCACGGGGCTGAAGGCAGGGCCGATTCGCGGGGACGGCCCCCACGGGCTTCGCTGCCTCCAGTGCTGCCGCTGGGATGTACCTGTGCTAGTCACGCAGCAGCTCCGGGTCCTGTCTGGTCCTGGTGGAGCGGGGTAGTCCGTAGATCACTTCTTCCTGTGCTTGAAACTCCTAGGCCTTCCCGAAAGCAGGCAGTGAAGGACTTGGCATTGCTGTGCTTCAAGTAGGCTTCGTAGCCCCAAAGAAGGCTGGGCGCTGCCCCGGAGCTTATCGGGTCTTCTGAAATCACCCGGCCCGGGCCCGGCAGTGGGGGCCTCACGGCCACGAGCGGTCGATACAATTTGTCTTTGGGGTGCGTGGGGCCGGGCCAGGCTCCTCCTGCAGCAAGTGCCCCTGATTGGCTTTGCCTTCATCCCGCTGACCTGGGGCGAGCCCTCCTCACCCCCCTCGGCACTGCCTCGGGCTGCCCGAGCTCTTGTTTTGGTAGCCTGGGGGGGATGGAGGGCGAGGGGCTCCGGGGGAAAGAGGGCCAGCAGCTCGCCTTGGCACTGAAGCAAAGAAAACTCCACGACAACTCAGTGTTATCCAGCGGGGATTCTTGATGACAGCACCGGGCAG